CCCCAAAACCCCAAAACCCCAAAACCCCACAATCAATAGAATCGCTAAACTTAGTCATAATTAAGTTAAAATTAAATTTGATATCATTTTATAGATCTGATTTCAACAAAAGCCCCAACCAAAGATGAAGTGTTGATCTTCTCATTGCTTCCATAGGCAAGTCTATACTCGATATCAGCCATTCTGCTAATTAAGAATATCTTCATCTGATCAGTGTACTTAGTCTTCATCACTGCTTTATGAAGATCACTCAAGATATCTTCAAGTGCAAGTGACTTATTCTGCTTAATTTGATATATAGTCTCGATTGCTTTGTTAAGTCTATCTTCATTCAAGGATTTGTAGATGCTTGTGATATCATCTGGTGAAGGTCTGCCTGTCACATCATAAACGTTCTAAGTAGTGATCTTTTAATGAGCCAAAGCACAACTTTCTAGTATGTTGAGAACCTTACGCATGTCTCCAGCACTAAGGTAAACAATAGCCTAAGCTGCTTTAGGTTCGAGTTCAAGCTATTCGAGCATTGCAATTTCATTTAGCCTTCTTAGTATGTGTGTTGAGTCTAATGGCCCAAATCTGAATCTAGTGCATCTTGACTGTAAGGCAGGAATTATTTTAGATACATAGTTGCAAATAAAGCAGAATCTTGTGGTTTTAGTAAACTTCTCCACTATGCGTCTCAGTGCGAATTGGGCAGATGAGGTCATTGAATCACATTCATCCAGTATGACTAATTTGATTCCCTTACTCATCAACTGTTGAGTAGAGCAGAAACTTTTAATCTACTCACGAACTACCTATATACCTCTATCATCAGAAGCATTCAGCTCTAGAATCATATTCTTGTATTACTAAGGACCATAGAGATGCTTAGCAATTGCGATTATACAGCTAGTCTTGCCAGTGCCTGGAGGACCGTGGAATAGCAAATGAGGCATAGTCTTGGTTGAAATAAATTTCTGAATGGTTTTAATGATCTCATCATGAGATATAATGCTCTAAAGATCATTTGGTCTGTACTTCTCTACAAAAGGCAGTCTCTAGTCGTTACTATCTTACTGATAATTTGCTGTTTTATCAACATTCATTTTCATTTCAAATTGAGTTTAACTTTTAATTAATTGTTTTTAATTTCAATTTAAAATTAAATGAATTTATTAATTATGTTTATACAATAATATAAATATTTATATCAATAGGGGTTTTGGGGTTTTGGGG